AATATAATTTTGAAATGTAATATTTTATTTTGTACTCGGAGTCCGTTTGGGAAGTTGATGCTGGTATCAAGTTGTGACGTCATCTAACCAGTACTATCTGAAAATATTAATTTAGTACGAATTACGAAATGATGCACCTCTATTTTCTACACCAAAAAACCTGTTCAATGGCATACTGTTATAACTTTTTTACAGAGAATGACAAGGACTACAATTTCACTAGGAGAAAATTAAAGTTTGCAATTCTCTTATATTATATAATAGATATTGGGTGTCGAGTTGCTTTGCTCTCGTGACACCATCTGGCAACGCCACACCTGGGTTAGGAGTTGACGAGTTAGGGTTAACCCTAAATTATAGGTGCCAATAGGTTTAGTAGTTAGACTACATTTACTAAAGATAGTGGTATTCACTTACTAGTAGGCGGGGGTGGAGGAGGTCCGCCACCGGCGCCGCCGGGTCCGCCATGACAGCCGGCGGCCTGCTGGCCCTGCTGCAGGCCTGCACCCCTCGGCATCGTTGTCATGCCACACTGAAAACACAACCACAATTATAGAACTAACGGCTGTAACCGTTAGGTGTAGGCGGAGATCATGGAATTCATACATCTACGCATGCATGTCGATTTCAGGTGTTCTTAATAAAGCTTTCTTTAAATAGTTTTTATCGGAGCGCTATAAGTCATCCCCGAGTTGCATAATCTCCTTTAATTCATTCATCAATCATACCTTTTTCAACTCTTCTCGCAACATTTCTTTTAAACTACATTTTGGAACACAATTTCTTATCCTATAATACACATCACTCCTATATAATCAAAAATATTACGTTTGTTTTTTGTTTTAATATTGAAAGTAGCGCTAGTGATTGAGAAATTGAGGAGCAAAAGGTTAGCGTGGTTTGAACATGTTATGCGAAGGGATGATCATATAAAAAAAAAAAGATTGAATGTGGATGGCTACAAAGGTAGAGAAAGACCAACGAAATGGATGGATTGTGTTAAAGAGAATATGCCTAAAACGGGTGTGTTCAGATACGACGGCTGATAGAGATGTATGGATACATACTGTGGCGAGCTTCCGTAGGGATAAGAATAGGTTGATGATAATGATGTTAACAAAAATGACTTACCACAATTGTGAGCACAACCATCAGAAAGTTTAAAATCAAAGTTAACAGTTTCATCTTGCAACCTCTCCTGCTATAACTGAACTGAATATTATAAACCAGTTTATATATGATCCTATAACAAAGCGAATAAGTACGTTTTTCAACAAATATTTGTTGAATGAGTGATTATTATATTTTTTTTTATAATTTCGATAATCTGTGGTGCAATTTGACGAAGCGTTAGCGCGGTAAATGATCGTATCACAATAGGTACCAAGGACTCTACACTAGTTATTTCCTATGAATTCGATTCTAAATAATAATTTCAGCATAAAATTTGACAAGTTATTTTGTATTTATTTGAGTAGAAACAATGATAATCGCTTACAAAAATATACTGGAATAGGTTGGTTCTCCCGGTACCAACAACTACACGGAAGACAGGCGTGAAGTGGATGCAATTCTTTTGCAAGCGTTTCGTCTGATGAGTATATTTGCCACAGGCTTAATTATAGTACACGTTCCCTTACTACTTCTTTCTGATAAGGAATTGTAAAGGGAAGTGGATTTGGCAGAAAAGGGGGTGTATAGGAAGGTAAATATCGACTCTCTGAGTGTCCTAGGTCGATTAAAAATAGACATCTGTAATTGCAGATGTCTGTGTAGCGGTCGTTTCGCTATTTTGGTGAATTCCTGTTGCCGCTTGCGCGTTTGCCACCTTACAAAAAGAGTAAAAGTACAAAGATTAAGCATGTTAAATTAACGTCCGTGATTTAGAGACGTAGGACTATTTATAATGATTTTTTTACACTCGTGTAGACACGAGACATAAAACTTTAGGCATTTAATAAAAAAATATTTAAGAATTACACCATTATAATATATACAGTTACAATACCCTTTACAAACAAAATCTTTTTGTTTTTATAACGAATTAATTTATATGATTATTAATCGATGTCTAATTTCTTGAAGCTGCCCTGTATTCCGAACAGATCTTCAACAGTCTTCTTCCCTCCAGGTCGAACAGCTTCGTTCACACGACGCAGACTCTCCTCTTTGAAGAACTGTGTATTTGTTTTTAATAGTTCAATTGTTTCATCTGAAAAAAATTTGATAGTCTCTTTATAATATTGCTAAGTGGATTGCAATTTTGTAGACGGTAATTGGTGTCAAAAATACAACCTATCTTTTGTTTTATATATTATTGGCCGATTTACATTATTCCAGTACAGTAGGACGGTGGCACTCAATATCAGCGCTTTCACAATGCAACCTCTAACTGAGGCCAGTGATTCAAAACAGTCCATGCCAGCGCGACTGTTTATTTATAAAAACATAATTATTACCTCTAATTGTCACATGATCTTTATGTTGACCACCTTCTTCTTTGGGGAAGGCTTTCTTTGGCACGTATTGGTAGAGTTCTTCAGAATTCGGTTGGTGTATATGTATAATGTCCATCAAAGCCTTCTTTATGAAAGGCTTTATTAACATCATCACTTTGTCCATGAAGTAAGGTGCGTTTAAGAAATGCAAACCTTTTAGTCTGATCAGCATTGCCTCCTGGCGAATTAAGGGTATATAAGAAAAATATTAATTTACATAATATGACGAAAATTCATTTTGGCTTTTGGTTTAATTCGACTTTATCTTCTTTGTCATTAAAAAAAACTTTAAAACTTGCAATACTTAAGTAACAGTAAAATCTGTTTATTATCAACCTGCCCTCCATACATCTCCATCAGCCGTCATATCTGACCACACTCTTCTTACGCATATCGTCTTTCACACAGTCCATCCATACTTTCATTGGTTCCATACCTTTGTAGCCATCCACAATGTCTTTTAACTGTTATTAATCAAAGGTTTTTCTAAAGCTATCTGATAGATAAATTGGATAGTAAATATAATTCCAAAATATTATCTTATAGTACATTTCAAAGAAGGAACTCTAAAATAATAATACAATTATATTACTAGGAAATAAAAACTTACTTGTAGAAAATATAAAACCTGCTTGATACTCATGAGATCTAACTTTGCGACGTGACCCAGCGTTGTCTGGTCCATGTCTATCATCAGAACAAATCTGGTAAACAATTAAACAATTATTAAGGAAAAATCAGTAGAGTTAGGCCCTTTGTACACAAAGCAATATCTTTGACTATACAATGTCATAGAACTCGGTGCACATCACATGTCACACGTTCTATCTGATATCGCCAAAACCTCCAAACTGTATGTCAAAAGTCGAAAGAGAAAAGTCGCTGCGATTTCCAAGATGGTAGAGAAAATCTTAACCTGTACTGACAGAATAGACGACTCGCATCGACGATTCAATGTTGTGTGTACAGCGCACGTAACACGATAATCTCTACGCAAGCATACTTATTAGTTTCGAAGATTTACGTTGTCTTGTGTACGAAGGGGCTTTGATATTGTGTGGGCCTAAAAAATTACTCCTTTTGTATTGTATTTCAAATAAAACATACCCAGGCCAAGTGCCTTCCTGATACTGCCAAAGATCAAATACCATCATCATAGCTTTAACGGTAACTGGGAAGTTGAAGTTACGTGAATCAGGGTCTAAAAGCCTGAGATACATCGCGCGATAGCCTTGCACTGTCGGGGTCGGCAGAGGAGCTATCAACCTGCAAACAATAATAAAGGAAAATTATCTTTATGTCCTGTTTACATAGTTCCAGTCCAGTACAACTGGAATAGTATAAACAGGGCATTTCAAAACAGCATTTTTAGGCTTAAATTTGCAAACATAAATCGGAAATTCTCACCGAATTATTAAACACTAGTTGCTCGCAACTTCGTCTGAGCGGAAACAAAAAATGTAGCCTACGTAAGCCGAGGATAGTGTACCTTCCCAAAATTGAAAGAATTTTGTATCGAACCGGTTCAGTGGTTTGCTGCTTTCTATGCAAACAAACACCAAATCTTTTCGTCTTATTCTAGGCACAACAAAATCTTAAATAACTGACGTTTGCTTACAAAATTTAAGCCTGCAATTAGAACTAGTATACCTTAACAAAATCAGTTGGTTTACACTGTTTAATTTGTATAAAAACATATCATCCCTTTCATTATATATGAAGAAGACAGAGATAAATACATTTCTTGTATTAATTATAATTCATTTATACTTACACATTATAAAGTGCGTTCTCCAACTTGAGATCGACAATGCGATCTTTAAAGAAAGTTGTGAAGAGAGTCCTTAAAGTGTAATGAAGGTCCAACACTTGCTTTGAGACCTCAGAACTATTATCACAGCAATGGAACACAATCGCCAGGTCCAAATCTGAAAGTTATTGAACGTTGAGTTAATTGGTTGCGAAAACCGGTAAGTTTTCACTGTCGACACAACTTTACAAAGAGTGGAAACTCACTCGCACTTCAATTTTATGATTAATACTAACTGTCGCCTGCGACTTCGTATGCACGAAATTAAAAAACAAACTTAATAAGTCGCTAGTAGTCTTTCATACTATGTTCTACATCTATGCCAAATTTTATCAAGATCAGCCGTTCTGAAAATATCTTCTAACAAACATCAATACATACAAACATTCGCATTTATAATATTAATAAATTTTTTTTTATAAAAGAAGGGGGCAAACGAGCGTCGGGAACACGGAGGTGATCAACGACCATGGACATCTGGAACAACAGAGGAACTGCAGATGCGTTACCGGCCTTTAAGGAAATGGTATGCTCGCTTCTTGAAGGTCCCTAAGTCGTATTGGTCTGGAAATACCGCCGAGGACAGCGCGTTCCACAACGCGGCTGTGTGAGGCAAGAAATTGCGCGAGAATCGCGCCGTTGTGGATGGGATGGAACAAAATTACGTTATTCTTAGTTCCTAGTTGCAAAGTTTCATTATTCATAGTTCCTAGTCATTTGTGCCATTGGGTAAATGACATTGTAACACGATGATTTTCTGTAACAGGCTCTCATCAATATAATTGTTTCCTCTATAATACGTTAAATTAAGATAATTTGTTGACGATCTTCACTTAGACTAGTCAAGTATTAATTCTACACTTAAAGTAGTAATAAACGTAGTTAAGGTACGTGTCTATTGGCCATTTGTTTTAAGTAGCCACTTTGAGGGAGCATCTTCACCGGGTTTGAGAAGGTCGAGCGCAGATGGCAATTAGCCTAAACCTCATTAACTAAGCTCGAGGGCTACCTCAGGAACTTCGGCTCGGGCTGTTACTTTGTTATTAACGGATTGCTTGTCCATTGGTCAGTACCGGGCGCACCGCACGCGATTTGCTTTGCCTTTCGATGCAGGCAGCGCGAATAACGGACATATCGTCATCCGCGCCGCCCGCAGCGTAAATAAAATCATACAAAGCAAATTAAAATCCGTTGCGTACTCTGCGTGCCCAGGAAAATAACTTACCACTTAAATGTTCACCAGGTAGATGTGGCTGAGTATTCAACCATTCTCGTAACTTCTTTATATCTTCTGCTTTGATATCCTTATTCTTCTCGTACTCCTTTTCAACGGGAAACTGCTTCAGAATGTCTGGCATTATGATATCTGAAAAACATTTAAATTGATAATTAGAGCTAGCTAGAATTAATTAGCATGTTTTAGGACTCAGTGACAATAACCGCAGGGTAGGTTTTAACATTACAGGCGCCCTGGTTTTTCCTCCGCCTCTATTTTTAGGGGGCACCACAAGCTCCTCTTTATATCCGACTCTGGCGCCTGCCGTGCTATGGGCAACGGTCACTTCGCTATATCAGTGATTTCAGGTGGCCGCTCGCTCGTTTGCCACTTTATGATATAAAAAAATCACTCTAAAACGGCTCAACGGATCTGGATGGAATTTCGCTTAGATATTAACATTTGGAATAGCGTATAAGTTACTTTTAATGTGACATGTAATAAACACACGACACGTGGTACAAGCCATTAGCAAAGATATTAATCATTTATTAATTTCTATAACTATTAGCCAATAAAATGAAACAAGGTTAATCGGTTAATTATGTAACAAATCGAAAAACGAGCCCTAGAAGTTTAGAACGTAGAAAAAAGCCGAAGTCGCAGGCAAAAGCTAGTTTTTTATATTTATTTATATCTACATAAATAAGCACAATAAAAATGTCTATCCATTTCGGGTTTGTCCATACACTTTGGTACTAATTAATTATGTTAATAATATTAAAAAATGTGAATGTTTTGATGCTTGTTTGAAGGTAACTTCATAACGACTCAACGGATCTTTATAAAATTTGGCATAGATGTAGAGCATAGAAGAACACATAGGATACAAATTCAGTTTTTTTTTTAAAGACTGGCGACAGCTAGTTGAAAATAAAATTCAATTAATTCAAAACATTGTATTGAACAACAAAATTATTTCCTTATTTGCTGTACGTTTTATTTTATTACTCTTTATTTTACGATTCATAAAAGTCGTCGTGTTAGTCTTATACTGTTTTAATTTTTAACGATTTCGTGAAGTAATTTGTTACATTAACCTCGTTTTATTTGTAATGAGAACAATTGTCTAAAAAAAAATAACTGCAATTAATTTGTTAATAAAAAATAAAAGGTCCTAATCGTGGTAATAAAATCTTTGTTGAGCAAAATTTATTTCAATAACCTTAAGGTTTCACTGCCCGAAAAGTTACAAAAGATTATGGTTATATTGTTGAAAAGATGGGAAAATCTTATAACCACACGTCTAATTTGATATTGCAATTGGAATCTTACTAATATTAATGCGAATGTTTAGATAGAATGAAAAACATAGTCTAAAAGAACACATAAACTACTAATTATGTTTTTTTTTATTTCCGCGGGAACGGAGTCGCTGGCCACTTCCAGTGATTAAATATTTTTGTATAATTAATATGTGAATTACAATCTCACTATTACGTAAACAAATTTTGTCGTGTCGACATCAGAAATGGTTCACTTTTAATTACTATAAAACAATGCTTAAGAATAATAAAAACTATTTTTCCTTTATCTGCGTAGCCTTTGGATTTCATTGTTGATTTTTTTATTGCATTCATTTTAAATCCAATCTTGATAATGTGATAGCTATTATCTAATTAAATGCCATGCGAGGTGTTTTAGAATGATTTTTTTTATATCATAAGGTGGCAAACGAGCGTGCGGCCACATGAAATCGCTGATATAACGAAGTGATCGTTGCCCATAGACATACGGAATTGCATATGTGTTGCCTAACTTTAGTCGACGGAGGAGAGGATGCACAGAAAGAAAATATTTTCCCTTTTCATGCATCCTCTCATCCGGAAAGTCCACTTCGACTCCCCATCCTTTTCTTATAAGAAAAAAGGAGGAAAGGGAAAGAGGACTAAATTAGGCCTCCGGGACGCACACTCATCAGACGAAACGCGGAATTGCTTCCACTTCACGCCTGTCTTCTGTGTGGTCGTGGTATTGTAGACATCAGGGTGAATAATCTAGACATCAGTTTCCTGGCTTCTGTGAATTATCTTTAACATCGTAGTAACAATTTCGAGTTGGAAACTTGTATAATTATCGAGTTTCCCTTTTATATAATAAAATAACGGAAATCAAATAGTTTCCTTAGTTATCATGTGCGCGAAAGATTTTTTGTTCTGCTACTTGATTGTTTTGTATGAAGGTGTGGAGTTTGTTTCAAGAACAAGGCAATTTTTCTGTAAATGGAACACCGCGAAGGGCTCTGACTGTACTTTTAAGGACACAACTGATATAAATTTTTTATGAACATAACAGATTTTTAAACAAGTTTGTTAAGCAATGTTTCTATATATTACAATGTTTATATTATATCTTAACGTATAATTATATGTAAAAATATTATTCAACATTTTTCTTGACAAGGAAAAACATATTTAAAACAACTTAATTTCCTTCTCTATCAAAATCACTCTATGATGTCACTCATGTAAGATGGATGGATGTTTGAAGGTATCTCCAGAACAGCTTAACGGATCTCTATAATATTTGGTATATATCTAGAACATAGTCTGGAAGAACACATAGGCTAGTTTTTTTTTTGTTTTCGCGCGGACGGAATCACGGGCGACAGCTAGTGAGCGAATAAATGATAAAACAGACATACAAATAACAAGACATTGTTAGTTAAGAAACCAAAACATCCTACTGGTTAAATGTACCCTATGTCATAAGGGATAGTGTAGCTACCCTACAGTAAATTTTTTTCAAATTAATTAAGCAGTTTCGGAGTCCATTCAATGCAAACAAACAATGAGATCTTTCCTATTTATAAAATTATTATACAACATTAAATGTCGTTTTAATTATAATACTATTATGGGATCAGGTTTTTTGCACAACTGATATCATTTAGTCGTTTTTATTTATAATAAAAACGACTAAATGATATCAAGGTCGTTCGGTAAGGCCGTTATATATTCTATATTATAAAACTTACCTTTTTAAATGAACGATGACGAGGCTATCTTGTGCGATAACGTGCGATAATTTAAGCGTTAATAAAAAACGCGAGTGTTTCTCACGAAGTTCTCGTGTAAACTAACAGCTCCTTAGCGTCTTTTCTGCTATTCAGGTGCACGAAATTTCCTTTGTTTATAAGGAAGTCGCAAATTAAAATGACAATCATTGTAAAAACAATTTGTAATCACGATTTCATATAATTAAGATAATTTTCAAAGCTTTGTTTCTACCTAGCTTTGCTTGAGAACATTGGATCTCCAGGCTTAGTGTCGTACCAATAGCTCTATGGTTAATGCCACGGATGTTCGGTCACTCGATGGTAGGTTTAAGTCCCGCCATTAGACTATTATAGTGAACCATATCCTAGAGCTTTGTTACTTTGGCTGTTACAAATAATAGTAAAATAAAAATCAAGTAATATTTCATAAAAAAAATGTTTTTCGATCTGTTTTTAATTTATTTTTGATTATTAATGTGTGTTTGACTCTCCTTTTGATTAATAAATACAGTGATTTTTATATAGACTTAATAGGAAAAAGAGTCTACTGGCTCGTAATTACGAATTATTTAAATGTCTTAAATTAAGCCCAAAATATGTAAATTATGGATTAAAGAATGGAATAAATATATAAATTTGACCTGATTTTCAAATAACCTTTACTTCAATGAACTCAAAAACTTATCGACGAATTCTTTTAAATAAAAAAAGCAAAACATAAAAATGTTTCCCGGAAATTATTTTTTAAAAGTCCTTTTAACGCCATCTATGAAACGTTTTGTACACTATTACAATTTTATCTTTGTTGCAACGCAAAAATAGCTATATACAGCTGAAGAATTCTTTAAGAGAAAATAAAAAAAAAATGTTTACGATTATTGACATTTCTAGAAAAGACTATTTCATTAACAAAAAGAGGCCTTTTAAAGTAATTTTTAAAAACCTTTCAATGTGTTACTTAAAAATGGAACAAAAACACTGTTTCCGCCCGGGATCGAACCGGGGACCTTGTGCGTGTGAAGCACACGTGATAACCGCTACACTACGGAAACTTAACAGTCACGGCTAAAATATCAGTATTTAAACATTTGTTAAATAAAAATTAAATTATTCATTATTTTAGTCTAAAAATGTTAAGTTGATGCCTCACCGTTGGTTTCTGAGACCAAAATCATTATAAAAATTATATCGTCATCTCTATCATTATCTTTAACAAAAACGAGATAATAAAATGTTTTAAACGGAGATTTTGGTATCAGAAACTATGCATTACCAAAATATCCATGCATTTTATTATATATTAATGACGTTATCGTTAAAATCTCGTTAAAATTTCGTACTAAGATAATCATTAAACACGATAATTTCTTACATTGCCTAACAGATAATAACAGTTAGCCGTGGGTACATCTCCGCACTCGAGCGACTTTTGTACAATCAATAGAGATGTAACTTAAAACTAATAGTAATATATCGATATTTTTGAAACAATATTTTTAATGAATGCGCATTGTAGTGTTGTTTGTCTCGAGTTCACGTCATAAGTAAATGCCGGAGAGATGGGGCGTCAGTCGATGTCAGACCTTTGGACCGGTAGCACGTGTCGGTACGTGAACAATCCAAATATAACGCAACGAATGCTACACGCATACTGATTGTTCTTTAGTTAAAAGCTGACCAAAATAATTACATCCTTAGGTTACAAATTGTAATTTACAAAGATTTTGAAAAATTACCCCTTACCCCGATGCCGTTTCTAAAGTTTCGGACATTGTTCTGAAAATTATTTTCACACGACTATAACAAGTAAATATAATAAGTAAGTAAATATTCGTTACTAAGTTTAAAAGTGTGTCGCGGAGCACAAAAATCAACTTGCAATTTGTCAATTTTGTCAGTTTTTTGTCTAAATTCAAATGGAATAGATTAACAAGAGATATAGAAAAAGTGTTCAAGAAAAATTGCTAGTTCAATCGAAGTGAAAATAGATTATTAAATTTATTTATCGATAAAGATTATCGATAACAGTAAATCACTAGCAAATCGTGAGTTGAACGGTCTGGCCGAAACGGAAAGTGATTCAGCGTGGGAAACGGGGCGGGCTAGTCCGCGACCGATCAGTACGGGCCTGAATTATGTCACATCTAAGTTAAACTTAAGTAACAGACTGTCTCTTTGTACTATGGAGTATTCGACTAATTGTAATTGTATGATATCATATTAAGTCCTTACATTTAAAATTTGCGTTTTGTATGGGAGTAATAAAAAGCCGTTTTTCTTACATACTTGTGTCATATAAGTAGGTCATTGAACCTATACAAAAAAATGGGCTCGAGAATCAACAAGCTATATAAAGACTGTTTGTTTTTTTTTATATATATATCATAAGGTGGCAAACGAGCGAGCGGCTACCTGAGAGCCGATATAAGAAACAGGGTGGGAGAGAAAGTGGACTAAATTAGGCCTCTGGGACGCACACTCATCAGACGAAACGCGGAAAAGCTTCCACTTCACGCATGTGTTCTGTGTGGTCGTGGTATTTCACTGGGCGAACCGGCCCAAATCGTACGAAGATGTTTAAGCGGACTCTACCACTGTTAAAACTTGGTCTGCCACACCAGAGATGTTGGATGAAGTCCCGAGAGTAATTTTATTGATAGTCATATGAAAGGACCTAATGTAATTACTAATTACTTGAGCTATGTCATCTCTACTTTATCTTCTGACACTCGTTTTTACCTATTGCCATCCCTTTCATTCTCTTTGAAAAAACTGAGACAGCTAAACGTGTAAATACTAGTCGAGTTCACAGTAATATATCATGTGTTCATAGATTATACAGCGAAGAAAGTAACAAAGCTAAAACCGTAGTCTGCCTGCGGGTTACGAACGTTGTTCATGATTTACTTTATAATTTGATCCTATAACTAGTACGATTTCACATTTGTGTCTAGATATTAAAATGTCAGGGAGATCTTATAACATTTCTCCTAAGCGTCTTGTGGTGATATTGCGACAGCTAACTGCCCGGGGTAGATATAACTGACATTTAGTTTGACAGCTATTAAACACGTTATTATTGCTTTTATAATAGAAATTAGCTGTCGCCCTCGACACCGTCCGCGGGAATTATAAAACTTAATAAGTAGCCTATGTGCTCTTCCAAGCTATGTTCTACATCTGTGCCAAATTTAACCAAGATCTGTTATGCGGTTCTGAAGACATTTTTAAACAAACATCCAAACATTCGCATTTATAATATTAGTAAGATTTTGCTGTTTGAATTAAACATGATATAGTTCTGAATTTAGGCTGGTATACACATTTTTTCTTCTTTTTATTTCTCTATCAATTTACTTTTAATTTCCCAGATGCCGTGAAAGAGGTTTTATATTGAACAAATGAACATCTGGCTTCTTTGCCTTGTAAATAGTTAAAAAAACAATAAGATGTGAGATTGTAAGGTCAATCTAACGCCTTGTGGAAAACAATAGAACACCATAAAATGCTGTCTCGCTCAAGTAAACTCACCATGATTTTTGTTAGTAAACTTAACCTTAAAACGGCCGCTAATTGTTTTGGCTAGAAAAGAAAATTTGCCTCCAACGAAAATAATATCAAAAAAAATAGTGCTGTTTTCTTATTCGTATTTACTCATGGTATCGTACTCATTTTGTCCAATTTGTTTGGCTTTTTTTTATATCATAAAATGGCAAACGAGCGAGCGGCCACCTGAAATCGCTGAAATAGCGGAGTATCCGTTGAGCATAGACATACGCAATTGCATATGCGTTGCCTACCTTTAATCGACGGAGAAGAGGATGCACAGAGAGAAAATATACCTTTCCATGCATCCTCTCATCCGGAAAATCCACTTCGTCTTCCCATCCTTTCCTTATAAGAAAATGGGTGGGAAGGAAGGAACACTGTTAGCTTTCTTAAGTGTGGCTTTCTGAGACTAATCCCCGTTTAAAAATATTGTCATCTGTTTTGTCAAAGACGGAAGACGTTATGTTTAATACAGAGATTATGATCTCAAAAACCGACAGTAAAAGGTTACTTCTGCTTTAGAGTTGTTGATTTTGTAATTTGCACTTATATCATATCGATTCAACAAACAAGATTAAGGTAAAAGCTTTTTCAAAGAACTGTCTGATATGGTGAAGTAACTAAACTAACGATTTAACAACATTTATCACTCGTTTAAGTAATTTAACTCTTATTACCTAAGTTATAAGAACGAAAACGACAGCATCTAATAAATGTTAACAAGTGTAGGTGCAATTTCGTCAAATATGAACTGAATTAGTTAAGGTACAGTTAGAAAAAAAAACTAGATGAAGAAAAAAAAATTATACTATTTACGTCTATTGCAAAAATATAAGCTATTTGTCATATATATTAGTCAATCGACCAATGTATTTTTTTCCTTTGGACCAAGATCACACATCTGTGTAGATTTATATTGAAAATGATACTACAAAAGAAATTTTAGTACATTCTTTCTAACCTAAAAATCAAATCCGTGACCTTGAAAATAGATCCTCAATGACTTCGGGGATATTATCTCTATCACTACTCAGATCTTTGGGCATCAGAATGCCTTCACTTTTCTAGGACAAGAGGTTAACGCTCCAATACTTTGTAAGCCAACAAAGTATTGCTTTACTGCAAAACTGTAATTTAATATTGAATAAAGTGCCGACTACTTAGTAATTAAGAGATATACATATAGATCTGAAATAGATAAAGCTAAGAGTAGCCATTTAATCATCGCCAGATTTTTTTTAAGATTGAACTATACCATAATTAAAAGCTAAATGCAATAATGCATAAAATCTTGAAGAAATACCCTGTCACTTCATACATTTTTTATGTCTTTCTACAATTTTTTTTTGCACTATGAAAAAAACTGATTAATTTGTAATTTTTTTGCTAACCGTACCCACACGGCAGCACACGTGTGACGTAACGCAATGGAAAGTTGCTGTGCTCGCGAACATTAAGTACAGCTAAACTTCTGGTATTAATTTAGCTTCTAACTTAGTACTTAAGTTAAGGACATTGG